GCTCGCATCGCCCGCTGCTCGCATCACGCGCTGCGCGCCTCACGCGACTCGCCTCACGGGCTGCGTGCCTCACGCGCTGCGGCGCCTCACTCGTTTGCGCGCCTTACGCGCTGCTCGCCTCACACGCTGCTCGTCTCACGCGCTGCTCGCCTCACACGCTGCTCGTCTCACGCGCTGCTCGCCTCACAAGCCACTTCGTTCGTCAAAAACGTCTCGCTTTCATCGGACCGCCTTCTCTCGTTCGCCCCCTCATTTCCCCTTCTCCCTCTCATTTCCCGACCTGGTCCCCCTGATTTCACCCACTTCTCTCTCTCATTTCCCCCCTTCTCCCTCTTATTACCCTCCCTTCTCCCTTTAATCTCCCCCTTCTCCCCCTCATCCCCCCTTCTCCCTCTCATGTTCCTCCCTTTTCCCTCTCATTTCCCTCCTCCTCCCTCTCATTAACCCCCCTTCTCTTCTCTCATTTCCCCCCCTTCTCCCCCTCTCAAATTCCCCCCGACTCGCTCTCAATCCCCCTCTTATCCCTCTCACCCCCCCCCCTTCACCCCCTCATCCCCCCCCCCCTTCTCGCCCTCATTTTCCCCCTACTCCCTCTCACTTCCACCCTTGCTCCCTCTCATTTCCCCCTTGCTCCCTCTCAGCTCCCCCCCTACTCACCATCATTCCCCCCCTGCTCCCTCTCATTCCCCCCCCCTTCTCCCCCACATATCCCCTCTTCTCGTTCTTAATCCCCCCTCATCCCTCTCATCCCCCCCCCTTCTCCCTCTCATTTCCCCCTCTTCTCCCCCTCATTTTCCCCCCTTTCTCCCCTCATTTCCCCCCCTTCTCAACTCTCCTTTCCCCCTTGCTCCATCTCATTTTGTCCCCATTCCCCCTCTCAAATCCCCCCCTTCTAGCTCTCAAATCCCCCTTTTCTCCCTCTCTTCCCCCCCCCCTCTTCTCCCTCTCATTTCCCCCCTTGCTCCCTCTCATCCCCCCCCCCTTCTCGCCCTCAGTTCCCCCCTGCTCCCCCTCACTTACCCCCCTTCTCCCTCTCACTTCGCCCTCTTCCCACCCTCATTCCCGCCCTTCTCCTATCATTTTCCCCCCTACTCCCTTTCATTTCCCCCTTGCTCACCATCGTTTCCCCCTTCTCCCTCTCAGTTCCCCTGCTTCCCTCTCATTTCCCCCCTTCAACCGTTCATTTTCCCCCCTTCTCCCCTTCTTCCCCCCTCCTTGCTCCCCCTCCTTACAGGGTGGTTCCATTGTTCGTGATGGCCCCCACTCCCTCCTTTCCATTCTCCCTTCCACGCTCTCCCATCTCCATGCCCACCTTCCGATGCCCACACCCATCCCCACCCTCTCATGCCCACCCTTTCCTTGCTCCGCACCTGTTTTTTTGGCTCAGGCACAAATGCGGCCACTCGTGCACCTCTCTCTTTGCGCCTACTTCTTCTGTCCCTACCCCTACTGTCACTGCTGCTGCCATTGCCGGAGCCGAGCTGCCCTGCTGCCTCTGCCAGTGTTCCTTCCTCAGGCACAAGACCCCCACAACCTCTATCCCAATCCCCCACTCCTCTCACTAGCAGGTCCACCAAGCGGCCCACACTCTCGCTCCCCTCTGCTACACACCAATGCCAGGCATGCGACAGCAAACCTACAGCACGTGCGGCATTGGCTTAGTTGACGGCTTCTAATTGTGATTCAACCCCCATGCATACACTTCCAATTGTGTGTTGTCGAGCTCGCTTAGCCGTACGATATTAGGAACTTTTATGAGTTTCATTGTCCATTAGGTATCTGCACTTCAACAAGTTTGGTGTAACGATTTTCATTTCCCATTACACTAAATACATAAAAAGAATTATTTGGAAACCCATTTTCCAGAGTAAAAGCTGGGGACGTCAATAGAGATGCTCAGGATGCAGAGAACGATGAGAAGGGTACGGGAGGGCCAGGATGGATGGAGTGGGTGTGAACGTCACGCAAATAAGGAGATCGGCAGTACAGGGAGGAGGGCATTAGGGGGAATGCATACGATTCAAACACACCCTCTAGATATTTTATTGCCGGGGTGGGAGGGACTGAAAAGAGGATCGAAGGGCTGGTAAGGGGATGGGATGAGAGGGTGTTTGAAGGGGATGGGATGAGAGGGGTTTGAAGGGATGGGATGAGAAGGGCTGGAAGGGGATGGATGAGAGGGGTTTGAAGGGGATGGGAGGAGAGGGTTTGAAGGGGATGGGAATGAGAGGGGTTTTGAAGGGGATGGGATGAGAAGGGCTGGAAGGGGATGGGATGAGAGGGGTTTGAAGGGGATTGGGATGAGAGGGGGTTTGAAGGGGATGGGATGTAGAGGGGTTTGAAGGGGATGGGATGAGAGGGGTTTTGAAGGGGATGGGATGAGAAGGGCTGGAAGGGGATGGGATGAGAGGGGTTTTGAAGGGGGATGGGATGAGAGGGGTTTGAAGGGGATGGGATGAGAGGGGTTTGAAGGGGATGGGATGAGAGGGGTTTTGAAGGG